AAAAAAAAAGTTATTTTCTGTTTTGTTTTATTCTTGGATCGGGCTTTAAAGGGTTAAACATCAATCGTTGTACTAAAATATTCTGTCATGATTTGTTGACATTAAGATCTAAACAGAACCATCATTTCCTGGTCAGACCCTGTAATTGAAAGGTTGGAATCGGAGTAAAGAATTATGCAAGAGGGGGTCACTTTAGTGGCGAGCAGTTGGAGGGGATTTGCTGGGAGTTGCAGTAAAATTTGCTGCCATTCAGTTTGCATTTGACTTGAGAAGGGCCATTTTGATTGGCTGCTACTGCACCTGCTCCTTTGGCCAGGCTAGGAGACACAGCCCAAAGATTTGGAGCTGTAGTTACAATAAAAGGTGATTCTGCAAAATGTTGATTTAGTACAGTTAAAATGGAAATGCGCATCACAGTTTTATTAATATTTGAAAAAGAAAACTATTTACAACCTCATGACCATTTGTCATATCTGTCATATTAAAACATCATTAAATACATTGACCTCTTAGTTAATCTGTACTGTTATGAAAAAAACAGGAAGAAGAAAGTATCCCTACCTCCTCTGCAGCCGAGAATCTCCACACGCAGGTAAAAGGTGTGCCTGAACTCCACCGGGATGATCCGCATGTACTGAGCTCTTACCAACCGACCCAACCAACGGGTCACAGGGGTCCTGCCCACCATCCGGACCTCAAACACCTAGGTGATGATTAATCTCTTAGTGGAGAACATTTTATCTCAATGATCTACTTCAAACTATAGAAGCAGCACCTTAGCAGGGCCGTCAAAGTTCCCATTTGCTGTGAAATCTGAGAAGAGGCCGTTGTTGGAGGCAAAGGCCAAGCGGTATTTGGAGAGGTAACCCCACATCCGGTCGTTACCCTGCGTCACCAACCCTGATATCCAAGTTGGCTCCAGAAAATCCACCTGGAAATAAGGCTGGGGGTCTGAAGGCAGGGGGCTCCAACCAGGCTCCATAACTGGACTGTATAAAGGAAAATATATGCATTTATAGTCAGGTACATCCTCACTCTGAAACTTTTATTTTTACTATCAACACGCCTTGTAAAAAGTGAGCAGTCACCCACATGTTTGGGATAATGTTCAGTCTCCCAGCATCAGCAGGGTTGTTATCTCGCTGTGAAGATGAGGACAGCTGGCCGTAATGAATCCTCCCATCCTCCAGTCCAAGAGGAGAGGAGCAAGCGCCTGATAAATATGATCTTTATTATTGTAAACATCATACATTTACGGTATTTAAGAGCATAAAGAGCATTTACCTTGATATCCTGGGCCACCATCCTGTTCGTACATTAAACCAGATTAGAGAACATCAGAGAAAAGATATCAGTAATAAAACATACAGTATTTTCATTATTGTCTAAAAGCAGTGTAATTACAGAAGTAACGATTTATAAAAACAATGCTGTCTTACATCGTAAATGCAATAATGTTATGAAGTTAATTACATTGGATACTTCATTTTACGTCTCTTATTTTACTGAATCAATATAATTTCAAGAGTAAAGTGTTAAAGGGACAGTGTGTAACTAGTTTTTGGTTTTTATTAGCAATAATCAAGTAATGCTTTTATAAATACATATTTTTGCCAAAGTCTGAAAACAATCATATTAAAAGCAAAAGTTTTCCAACAGCTTAGGAATATTTGTTGCACCACATGGTCACCTTTGGTTACGGTGGCCAAAAAGGGACAAACTTATTAAGCTTATATATTCACCTGACCTAACCTCACCTGGTCTCTGTGACCATATAAGGGCTATACTGGCCTCTTTGCATTGGCTGCCTTTCTTTTGCCGAATAGATTTTAAGATTCTCTTATTAACTTATAAAGTCTTAAATGGATTAGCTCCTCCTTATCTTAGAGACCTTTTAAAATTCCAGTCTGTGTCGAGAAGTCTACGCTCTGATAATCAACTGTTACTGACAGTTCCTCGGACTCGACTTAAGAGGAAAGGAAAACGGGCCTTCTCTGTTGTTGCTCCAATTCTGTGGAACCATTTACCTCTTCAAATTATATCCGCCCACAGCCTGGATAATTTTAAATCGCTTCTTAAATCTTATTTTTATTCTTCGGCTTTTAATTGAAGTATGGAGGACCAACTCTGCCATATTTAAAAATAAATACAGAAATAAATGCTCAATAAATAAATAAATAAGCATAATAAATACTTTAAAGTATAAGTAATAAAAAAATAAAGTTGAAGATTATAAAGAACAAAAAAATAAATAAGGTAAATATTACAAAAGCAAATAAGTAAAGAAGCTAATTAAAAGAGTTATATACATTTATGTCTCACTGTATAATTAAATTTCTACTTACATTTATTTGTTTATTATATTTTTGGTGGCAATTAATTGTACGCTTATTTATTTATTGAGCATTTATTTATTTCTCTATTTATTTTTAAATATGGCAGAGTTGGTCCTCCATATTGAAGCAGTGTTTCACATTCTGTTTTTTTTTTATTGATGTTGTTGTCTTTCCTGTAAAGCACTCTGGTGCAGTTTTATACCTGTTTTTAAAGTGCTATATAAATAAATTTGGCATTAACATTGACATTCACCTGCATATAAATTATAGTCGGCAGAGAAGAAGCATAAAACATGCAATGTAGCTTTTTACAGACTGAGAAGACAATGTGTTCTTCATATCCCTCCCTGACATAACGGTTTTCTAAATGGAGTGTTTGCAGGCTTTCTGTTAGACAGGCCAGTTAATTCAATATGATAGAGGAGTCAACCATGGTGTTATATTAGAAACAGGGCAAAGCAACCAATCTGCTCTCCTGAAAGAGACAGCTAGCTTGTTTGTTAGCCTACAGTACATTGGTAGAGCTACGTTGGAACAGTTATCATTCACTGTTGACTGTAGATATTAGCGAAACTTATTAGCTATTAGCTGTAAGGAAATACTTGTAGGTTATAGGCATAATTGAAATCTGAATTAAGTTTTGTTCTTGATGTTTGAGATCGGTCTGTTTTTCAGTGTAGTCCTGTTTCTCTGACTGTGACTGGCTGGGTGTACTCTCTTCATCCTCTGACATGGGAGCTGGCTGAGAGCTTCTTTTTCCATGTCTGTTCTGTCTCCTTGAACCCCAGTGGGCCTCAGCAGATGGCCGCTCACACTGAGCCTGGTTCTGCTGGAGGTTTCTTCCTGTTAAAAGGGAGTTTTTCCTCTCCACTGTCACTACAAGCATGCTTAGTGTGAGGGATTGCCTTCGAGTCAATGAGTCGATGCAATCAACTGGTTTTCCTTAGATAGAAAACTTTGAATCAATTTAATTGGATGACCTGGTGAACTGTAAAGTGCTTTGAGATGACGTGTTGTGAATTGGAGCTATAGAAATAATCTGAATTGAATCTTATCACCTGCCAGGACCCTGAACTTGTTCAGGATGTTGACATTTTGCAGCTTCTATAGTAGTTATTTTTTTGGTTAACGATTCGGCACTGGAGTGCATTTATCTGTTATTCTTATTTCTCTTAGTACACCACTAGATGGGAGTAAATCCTACACACTACGCTTTAGGTTTTTATGCTCAGTTTTTATTTATCTTATTGAGTATTTATGTCGAAAAATAATAAAAGTTGTTATGGTCATATTATTTCTAATCTTTTTTCTTACAGTTGGTGTTACAGCAGAGAAAGTAACAGCAGCCATTGATGGGGTCCTCAGAGGGGAAGGGGTCGGGGTATGAGGCCTTTAATTGGTGAAAAAAAATGAATAAGGAACCACAGTTAAACAAATGTAAGAATTTGATGCAGCATTAAAGCAGATAAACACACCTCACCTGTCTGACTGTGTAGTGATGTCATGTAGGTGGCATCCGTTTTCATCCTCTCCTTTGGGACAATTAGGAATACCATCACAACGCCTTTCTGCTTCGATGCAGCCCCCTGGGGGTGGGCAAGAGAAGTAACCAGTGGGACAGCTGCGTGGACTGGTGGCTGTTGAGGAGGGTTGAGTACCTGCAGGTAACATGTTTTATAAGCCTGACAGGAAGTTGTCAAAGTAAAATGTTCATCTACACCTTACCAAGGGACATTACACAAACAATGAGTTTGACTTTGGCCCCACTCAATGTGTAGGCAATTGAAATATTTCATATTAGCAGGAATTATGTTCTAAAAATAATGTAATTGTCAACCTACTGGAGATAATATCTTGGAGATAAAAAGTTAAGGACAGAAACCCAGAATCTCCTTCTTAATGCCGTGACCCTGGAACTTTACCGTTTTGTTCTCACTTAGTTGGGGTCATGTCCTTTGTAAGATTTCAGAGCTTTCCATTGTCACGTATCTCCAGACATTCCTGACTACATGTTAGTTTTGAAGTACAGCAGTTCTTATTTGCCTTTTTCTTGATCCCTTTGTGCAATTTCTACAATAAAACCACCCGATAGAGAGACAGTGTCAAGACTCCTGTCTGTCTGTTTGTGTTTTCTGTGTTTGTCTCCCTTCCTCCACCAGGAGGCGCCTGGTTCTGGTCCGCCTCCTCACACACCTGCTGACGGTTACTTCGTTAACGGAGTGTTCTTAAGCTGCTGACTGCCACTACTTGACGCCAGAGTGTTTGCCAGTTTTGGGAAGTCATCCTGCTACCTGGATTTTTTTTGACCTTCTCTCCCTGGAAGGATCAACTGAGCTACAAACTGAGCTGGGGTTCAAACAGGAGGTTTGGATCCACTTTCCTCAAGAGAGAAAGGTATTAATCTCCATTACGACACGTTCAAGTAACGCCGGAAATCTGAGTGGCAGTCAGTTTTCTCCGTTCACCTATTAACGACCGCATTCTGGGTAAACCCGGTTCCGCCCTCCACCGAATCAGACAAACACTGGAACTACAGCATACAGACTGGAGTCAAGGATTCAACAACTTCTCTGGAAACACGAGTCCGCAACCAAATCCTCTTCTCCAAGTTCACGAATCAAATTTCCCACTGAGCCTGAACTAACCGCTGTGTCTTCCTCTCACTTTTAGTTCCTTGTTGAGCAGTGTTCAGAGCAACACTTCTCTCTGAATTATCTCTTCAATAAAACCTGTTAAACCTTTTCCCTGGTCTCCCTGTTTGGTCTTCTGTATTTGGGTCTGAACCTTAGGAAAATCATGACAGAAAATAGCTCTAAGTATGTAGAAAGTAATGTTGAGTTAGTTGTAAACTGTTCACTCCAGGGGCGAACTTAGAGTTCTGTTTGAACAGGTAAGTTCACATAGAAATAGACATTATTCAAATGGAGATGTAGTAGAACCACTGACCTATAATTAACCAATTGAATGAACTTTAAACAGAAGTGGAGTGTTTCTATCAGCTTATTTATATCAGATACTTTAATGGTGTTGGCTAATATGAGTCAGATTTCTAATTCTAATGTTGGATTGGGACATTCCTACCTTCGTATAGAGTGTGCTTTTTTGCCAAAACACAGATGTATACAGTATGTCTTTGTTTCCCCTATTCAAACATAAAAAATGCACCGCCACTTTACCTCTACCCAAGGAGAACATTCAGCCTTTTTCTGACTGAGAATACAAGGAGAACGCACTGTGTGAAATTTGTACAAAGGCCAATCATAGCAGACAACTTACCACAGTACTTCTCATCTGATCCATCCCCACAGTCGTTGACCCCGTCACAAAGAACCCCAACAGAACCTGCCGGTACACAGCGACCATTGTCACAGAGAAATTCTTTCTCTCTGCAGCCTTTACCCGGAGTCAGAGGTGAAGGAGGGGTTGGGGAGGTTAACCAATGATAACCTTGAGAGAAAATAAGAATAAAGCTTTAAAAAGATGTGCCCGTTTCCACATAGCCATCAAAACATGTTAACAACAATCTGCTGACCGTCACCACAGCCCATGATCTCCAGCCGTAGGTAGATGCCATTCTGGAAGTCATGGGGAACCAGTCTAACAAACTGAGATGACACTATTCTGTCAAGCCTGCTCTCCGCCACACCTCGATCGTCATGGTTACCAAGAAAAATCTGAGGTGAGAACAACAAAAGCATAAAGCATTTGTATAGAATCTAGACGAAAGTTGTATTAAAGCTTGAAGTTGCTTGTTCTTTGACCTTAGCTCTTGGTGGAGCATTGGATTGAACCTCCTGGTAAGTGTACCAACGCTTCCCATCGTGACTAAACTCAAGGTAGAAGCTGGACACAAATGTGCCGAAAACACCTCCTCCCTGGGTGAGAACGCCTAGAATCAGAACCATAAGAACTTTTTAGTTAATCAATAGCACATAACACACACAAAACAGTTCACATTATGCACAATAACACTAAATCAACAGTTTCAGTTCCACTTGTTCAAAAGCACCTGTAGGAATCTTTACCAGTGATGTTGTAGGGTTTAAGCAGGTCGATCTGTATGTAGGGGCTTTCTGTGCTGACACTCTGTCCTTCAGGTCTCTTTTGAGGTAGTTCTTTATACTCCTCTGGCTGTGGACTCCAGCCCTTTTGAGTAAATGATAGGCAGAAGAGAACCAATGTACATTTTTAAGGGTTGATCTCACTACGGTGGACGATAAAAAAAAAGTCAAGTAGTGGCATATCTGAAACAGGAGATGTTTAATTGTGTTAATTTAATCCAAACGTCACATATTGCATTAACAAGATGACTGAATGATCACTTTTCCCTGTGTTAGGATTCCAGTTTGTGTGGGTTGTTATTTTGTTTTTCTTCTCTCCAACACCAGATGGGTCCCTGTTCTAGTTGGGCCTCCTTGCACACTCGCAGCTTGTTGGGTCTTTACCAGAGGAGTATTTGAGCAGTAGGCTGTCACTACCTCAACGCCAGAGTGTTTGCCAGTATTGGGTACTCTAGCCAAACTGAGATTTGCAGAGTCTAACCTTAGCCTCGTCTCTCTGAGTCCGCTTTGTCTTTGTTCTTCAGCAGGAAGCCTTCCTGTGTCACTGGATAAGCCTGGACCTTCTACCCCCCCGGAAGGATTAACTGAGTCACACTGAGGAAGGGGAAACCTCCACATGATCCGTTCAAGTCCACTTCTGGAAAACCAAGTGACAGTCCGCTCCTTTAGTCCTCTGGGTCCAACGTTAGTCTGCCTGTCCGCTCTCCAACGAGTTCCTTCTTCTCTGAATTTAACCCCACAAACTGGATCCAATGTGTTTTTGCTAACCCTCAATAAACCAGTTAACTTTTACCCTTGGTCTCTGAGTGGTTCTCTGCATGTGGGTCAGATCTTTAAGGCCCATTATGACCTTCTCTCGACTTATGAAGTAAACCTCCTTGCATTCTGGCCACTGTCAGTCAAAAATCCTTCATTATGTTTTAGCCAATCATAGCAAGCAGCCAGCTTCACAATCAACCCCTGCTCCATACCTGTAGAATATCTTGCCATATTATCCAATCAGAGGTCTGCATTCTCATTGCTTACTGCGATAGACTGAGGCTCAAACCTCAGAGCGGAGCGGAGATCCCATCCGGGGGAGGAATAAACAGCTGATTAATGCACAACATACTATATTTAATGCAGTTCAGTGACTACATTTATGAAGATTGACAATGCCTATTTTACCATAAATATTACAAAATGTACAGGAGAGTTTTAACCTCCCTAGTATTCAATGAGAAATCATCACTGATGTCAACCATCTAGCCCTAAATAGACTAAAGAAGCCCCTTAAGGATTAGAATCAAGCGAAAGGAAAAGTGGGAGGTACCTGGAGGTCTCTATGACGGTCCCACCTATGAAGACGTGCTGCCTCTGGTGGGTGGCCCTCCTGGTAAGACGAGGCAGTAAAACTAGATACTGGGAGGGTCTGGACACCCAGAGGCACCCAGCACTCATCTGAACAGAAATAACAAGGAATTACTGAGATATGCTGAATTGTTCTATGCGCTAAACGGTGTTATATAATAAAGAGACACTAACCTCCAGGTGGTACTGGATATGTAGGAACCAGAGGAGTTATATCCTCAGGCTTGGATGTTATAATTCCAGGGGTTTCTGTCACAGCAACTGTGTCGTTTTCACCTACATATCATTGAAAAATCATGTTAAAGAGATAAAAGCAAACAGTGAACGGTAGGGGTGTAAGAAAATATTAATTCCGTCAAAGATTTAATTAGATGATGATGTATTGATGATTCAAAGTACATTCAAATGGATCTTAAAATACAAGAGCATATAATTAAGCTACTCTGCACCAACAAGATCTCCTGAAGTTTTCTAGAGCTTTATTATTATAAAAATTACAATATATTATCTTTGTTAATGTATAGGTATATATATCGGGATAAATCTTATCTTTACACCTGAACTGTATTGTTATATTTCATACCAACAGTTTTCAACTGAATTGGATTTTTCCAGCCATGCTCTGGGATAAACACCATTAGAGATGAACAGGGCTGAGTACCGGTCTATCCTAGGCTTCCATTGAGACCTTGGTACGTCCAACGATAGCTGGTCTGAGGGACCAAGTAGGGGAGTAAGGGGGTAGGAGCTCAGAAAGATAAGGAGGATCAAGACCATTTAAAGACAAATAAAATGATTTTAAAATGACTCTAAAATGGACAGGTAACCAGAGCACAAAGGATAAAACAGGAGTACAGTAAGAGCCAATCTACATTTTCCCATTTTCCTTGATGGGTCCTTGGCTGGTTCCCTACAACTCCCTTTTAAACATCAATATTTGTACCAAAATATGCTTTCTGTCATGATTTGTGGACATTAACATTTAAAGAGAAGTATCATCTCCTGGTCAGACCCTGTAATTCAGTGAAAGGGTGGAGTCAGAGTAAAAAAAATACCAGAAGAAGGCCAGGGGCTGGAAGTTTGAGGGGATTTTGCTTGAAGTTGCAGGGAAGGTGGCTCCATTCGACTGGCGTTTGACTGGGAAGGGTCATTTTCGCATGGCTGCTACTATAATATGCTCCCTGTTTGGTTTTTAGTTGAAACACGTGCATCAGTGTTCTGAACAGACTGAAGGATGACTTGCTCTCTCAAAGGTATAAAAAACAACAGTAATACAGCTAAGCTGTAACTAAATGAATTACTGTTTTGAAATCACCTTTTCTCAAGGTGTATTTTAACTGGATGCCACAGGTGAAAAATATATGCCCATCCAGGTTAAAACTAAGGTTTGTGACAACAAATGTTCTATTCTATCAAAAAATTTTTTTAGAAAGAAGTTGATAAATTCTGCTAAAGTCTCAAGTACTCTTTCCATTTGTTACAAAATTATGCATTACACAGTCATTTTGGTAATCAGTTATTAAGGTGGGTACCGCATTGCAATCCAGGCTGGGTTTTTTTATAAAAAAAAAAAAAAAAAAAGACAGCCAACAGCTTCAAAAAATAATTTTTATTTTAGAAGACTGACTTGTTTTTTTTAATCAGGAGGAGACTGTTTTAAAAAATTGAAGAAGACGTCAAGATGCCTACAACAATTAGTTCTCTGTTAGTTTTTCAAGTTGGTATACTGGCATTAATGTTCAATGATGTTAAAATTGATGTTTATTCTGAAATAGTATAAGCTACTGTCATTTTTTATTTGAATGGAAATGTGAGTTTTTTTGTTGAACCTTATCTGGCTACACTTTACTGAGGAGCTAATAAATAAGGCCTAGAAAGAAAGCTTGTCTGATATCTTGTAAAGTTTTTTTCTGTTTACTTATTCTCTATAACTTTATTTTTCTGATTCAGCTATTCATGATAAATTATTGTGCACCTTCATTTTTAATGCCTTTTCCTTAATGTTTATTTTGGCAAAAGTAGCTAAAAAGCAATCAGTAACTTCTTATTTAGCACGGATGGTAACGTAAAGAACCCTTTTGATTTCTAACAAAAGTAACCTGTAATATATTATATCGACATTTTTGAAGCAGCTTTCCAAACACCGGCTTTTTACCAGTCATAGCAGTAGAAATGTGAAAACCAAATGAAACATTGACGGATTTACTGCTTTTTCAGTTGCTGGACATAAAATAAACGGAGCTTAAATCAAAAGAGACAGAAAACTATGCAGAAAATTATGCTTTATCTACATTTAATAGAAAAGCTAAATAAAAGAAAACAAAAACTGTCATCATATTACCTTGACAATAACAGCACCTGCTTCCCTCTCCAGGGACGAGGCTTTGGCCCTAAAAACACAGAAAAGACAAATATCATGTAGACAGCTGCTCTTTATATAAGGCCATTAAAAAGTATTTGGCCCTTACAGATTTGTTTGTTTCTTTGCTTTTTTAATGTTCACTTGTGATAAAAAAAAATTAGAATATTAAAGATAACTGGAGTGTAAAAGACACATTTTATCTTAAGAATCATCTAATTATGATCTATTTTATCACTGAAACAGAAACAAAACACCTTTCTAAAATAAACTGGCCTTATGAGGAAACATTCGTGTCAATAAAACCAATAACCAGTATTGATAACTGGGAATAAATATTTACATCGGAGCTCTTTGGTTAAGGTTATAAAACCTTCATTTTACTTTTTAAAACCCTCCAGACGGGAACCTTCTAGAATACCTTGAATCGTTCTGCTGTTGTCTAATCTATGATGGTTTGTCAGCAGATGCCAAACTTCTACTCAGGTCAGGAAAGGTCAGATCAGTTCAGTCGGGTTTAATTCATTTTCCAGAAGTATCTCAATGGGGGCAGATTTTATATTTTCACATTTTTTTTTTTACCTATTTTATTTTCAAGTATTTTAACAGATCTTTTGCTTTGTTTTGTCGGTTTTTTGTTGGAAATTTTTAATTTTATATCTATAATTAGCATTTTCTATCAAATTGCTATTCCGATCTTATTCCCTTCATATCTGTGGGCGGGCTTTCCTTTGGTGTAGGGAGCGACGACGCATATTTGTTGGTCTCCTGGATGTTAGCAACAACATTTTTGTTGGTCAACAAGAGCAAGTGTTTGTAATGGGTTTAAAGGCAAAAAAAATAATTTCATAAAATTATATGTGAAAAATCCAAATAAGAAAAAAATTTAATTATGCAAAATATTTTTTTAATAAAACGTGAAATTTTGAATTTTTCTGAACAGTTTTAGAAAAAAAAAATATGTTTTCAAATTGAAATTTTAAAAACAAATAAAAGTTTTTTTGATTATTCAAATTTCCTTTCTGGATAATTTTTTTTTTCTAATGTGGATTTACAAATCCTGTACTTTGCTTGCAACAATGAATTAATTAAAAGACTCCAGAAATAATGATTTATTGTACAGTAATTATTAAATGTCTATTTTTACTCAATGCTCATTTGAAGAAGTCATTAAGAATGAATTGATGATCTGCAGCTGATTCTGTTTCTGTTCTTTAGCACAGGAAGAAAAAACTGTTATTTCAATAGCATGCTTCAATTAGTTATTTGAATTTAATGTTTATTGCATTCCCCAATTTAATTACAACATTGATTAGTCCATCCAGACCAATTCCAATGTCATATAAATAATGAAATAAAACGGTTCTGATTAAATTAGTGAATTTCAGGATAAGGTGGGGGTCCATATCCTGTTGTTTTGCCCAGCTGCTGTCAGCTGGAACCACCCACCACCACAAGTAAATTATCAAACTATAGGAAAGATGATGATAACTGGGATTTTTTTTTTCTGTTCTTTTTTACAAGCGAAACTAACTCCTTTATCGATTGAGGTCAACAGTGGCGATCGCATTTCTCAGATAACTAAATGTTAGATCTAGGGATGCACGATATTGGGATTTTGGCCGATATCCGATATGCCGATATTTTAAAACTCATGTAGCCGATAACTGATACCGATACCGATGTTAAAGCTGGACAAAAATAAGTAGTCATTGAAAATAGCAGTTTTGTTATCCATTTCTGACACTTTGAAAAATAATATACTCAAATATATTTTCATATGCTGATATCAAATTGATTTTTAAAAACGCGGTATCGATCTATTTTACTTTCAAAATCTCGTGAAATTTCATCGTTCTGTTACAAACTCTCGTGATATTTTGCAAATTCTTGTGAGATTTTGTTAATAAAATAGATCGATACCGCGTCAATATATCAACATATAAAAATATGGCAACATTTGGAGAATTTTCGGGGGATTTCGTAGCATAACGATGACATATCGCAATATTTCATTAGTAAAAGAGATTGATATGGTGTTTTTAAATGGCAATATATCAGCATATGAAGATATTGGGATATTTTAATGTATCAATATTTTTCCCTCATCTTTAGAAGTTTTTAAGTCTGTAAAAAAGAAGTTTTTGAGGAAGAAGAAGAAGTAGTATTTTTTTTTTTTTTTTAGACTTTAGAAACTCCGAAGCTGATCAAATATCGGGTTAAATATCGGTGGGGTGGCCGATGTCCGATATTCAGTTTTAAGGCTGATACCGATAGGGGGCCGATTATATCGTGCATCCCTAGTTAAATCAGGGGTTTCAAAGCATTTCAGCCCTTTACCCCCAAAATAACAATGCATCAGACTAATCTTTTTCTTTTGTTTTTCTTTTGTTTTTACTATGGACCTCTTTTGTGTCTGAAATAAAGATTGATTGATTGATTGATTAATGACCCCATACAATTTCTTGACTCTGTATATTCTTATAAATATAGAGCATTTTATTATTTTTTTTAAATTAATTTTTAAATAAATTCCAATGCCTTTTTCACAGCACCAAAGGCATCATAACAGAAACAAAAACCACAACAGTAGAAAGAAACATTCTGGTCTTTATGAGTCACGGACAAAGTGTCAGTGACCCAGGATCAATAACAGGTTATTAAAAATGTATGGAAATTGAAAATTAGTTGAATTTGTGCATGAAGAAAAAACTATATATAATAATGTTGAACTGTTTAGTTTAGGATTAAATGATGCCTTCTTACAGTAGGGCATCCACTGACGGCATATGGACAGTAGGGGGCACACTGCACTGTGAGGTTAGGAAGACAGTGGCATAGCTGGCAGGGCTCTGCCCTCCATCTTTCTCCAACGGCACGCGACCGACTCTGATAATGACACTGATCGCAGGGGTCTGTCTGACACCTGAAAACAGACACACACACACACACAGATAGGGATTAAAGCCCAAGTGGATGACAAAAACTTAGTACAGATGCTGACTAGTCCTTTTATGCAATGATTTTTATCTGAAAATTCTATTTAAAAATAAAGTTATTCGTTCTTACCGACGGGCCTTTCTGTAAATCCCTCTGCACACCCTTCCATCTCCATGCTTAGTGGGATTATTCGGGCTTCGGAACGACCACTGGACGCTCTGGACTCCGCAGGGTCCCAAACACTCCCCCCACTCCGACCACGATGACCAGCCACAGTGCACTGAAGGAGGTCAAAGGTGAACGGTTCATGAGGAGCAGAATAAATTATCTTATTGATGCATTACAGAGCCTGTACCCACCTGAGCAGTCGGGGTTGGGTTGACACCGCTGAGGCTTTCCCCTCTCACAAACGCAAAGGTCACAGTCCTTTTTTATTTGCTGGCCGGGCCAGTATCGAACACCGGCCACCTCACACACACACTCTTCAGGTGAGACGCACTGCTGCGTATGGCTCATCACCCGGCCTTCAGGGCACCAGCAACCTACAGGCAGAGAGGAGTCACAGGAATCTAACGACTCATGGGGATCTAAAGCTCCAGATGACCTGAAGGCTGCATTATTTTTAAACGGACCAGAAACGCAGGGTGTCCCAGGGTCACAGGTGACCCCGCTGCTGATGTGAGCACAGGAGAAAGGACATGGAACACAGCTGTGTCTCAGCAGGCCGGGGGAACAGCTGGCGTTAGCACAACCATCATCAGGACAGGGCTCTGATGAACACAAAGCAAGGTAGAACATTTATACTATTATCTAATAGCCGTTTTGTTTTAACTTTAGACCAAATTATTACAACTGAATCTGAAATATTAAAGATGCTTAAAGGTCATAGCTACAATTTAATTTGATTAATTTATTTTATGAAACTTTCAAAGTGGTGAAAAAAAAAGGATATAAATAATTTCTTTATAAATGTTGCTGTGTCCACAATATATAAATATAGAATTTTTGTTAAGATGTCGGTGTCGACATTAAAGGCATCTGCAGCTAAAGCAACAGTGGTCTAAAATCACATGAGAGGTAGACGCAGGCATTACAGGATGCTATTAGCACCATGATAGAGCTGAGTTAGGTCTTCCTCTTGGTGTTTCTCAGATAAAAAACAAAAACATCTTTTAAAATGGTGGCGCCAACTTAATGAAGAGACCAGAAACCACACAACATATTCTCATTATCAGTTCGTATGAAATCATACGAAAAGTTATGCGCAGTATTTTGTACGTTTTGGACGTTTTTCCTTGAAAAAACAAAACAGTGCGCATGAGCAGCCAGACAGACGAAAAAAGCAGATCCGCGGACGGACATAAAACTGGGACGGACAGTGCAATAAATACTTCTTGATGTCTCGAACTACGTTGCTTGCTGTTTTGTATCTTAGGGTTACGGTCAGGGTTAGGGTTAATTGTATGTTAAATTCTATGTTATTGAATGGTGCGTAAGATGTTTATGTGTAAGGATATCTTGTCTCGAGGCAAGACGTAAAAATACGACGAAAAAAACGTCAAAAACGTACGAAATTTCTGGGCATAACTTTTCGTACGATTTCATACAAACTAATAATGAGAATAAACTGAACCACATGGAGGTTGCCACTTAGGCCGGGCAAACATTGTACGATTTTTTGCCCTTTTTGGGCCGATTATCCACTCGTGCAAACAATTATTCGATCAGGCCTTGTGGAAATAACGGAGTTCTTCTTCTTCCAATTCCAACAAGCGGCATCCGACCTGTGGTTTTTGGACATGCAGTGTGAGCAGGTAGATCGCATCAGAGCGTTGGGCCGTACAGTATAAGAACATGTATCATGAGTTTGGAACATTTAAACCCTGCAATGTCATCGTACAGTTTGAGCTGTAGCTGAGTACAAAGATTAAAAATATAGTACAGTGTATGCCAGGGATTACGTTCTGGAAACAGTGCACACTTGCAAAAAAAAAAAATTACTCATAAGAGCAGCTTTATTTAAGATACAAGCACATGAATTACTCTGTATGTGTATTTTGTATACAATGAGCCCCACAATATGTCACAATCATAAGCCATTGCTCCTTCTCTTTCTTTTTATGCTCCTGTATATTCGCTTACGTGCTCAGCTGTGTCTCTGCGCTCATGTTGACTGTTATTGGATACTTTTACTTTTATTGAGGTATATTTACTTATGTTAATGAAATAAAATAAAAATTGTTTTGTAGTAGTGTACTTACCTGTACTTATTACTATTACCTCAGTATTATTCTTGTCAGATTATCACTACTCTTATACTCATCTCGCCATGAAAAACTTTAGCTATTTGAAAGTGAAAATACATTAAACTTTGGAAATTGTAGCTGTAATTAGTTTATCCTTTCTGAAAATATGTACATAACATACTCTTTGATTAGGTTTAATACGTTTATGTAGAATGATGCTACAAACCAATAGTTTCTCAGTACTTTAATAGCCATTTTACCAAGAACTTTCTTTTCACTCTTCATGGGTAATTTCTTGCATGAATACTTTCTACTTTGCTTAAAGTACTAGCTTGATAGAGTAGTGCTGCTCTTACTTTAGTAAACATTTTGGGTACTCTACCCACCAGTTGACAAAGGTTTCCCAATGCTGATATAAACAATTAGAACATTTGAAAAGTGTGTGTGATTTGTGAAGTGTGTGTTCAATTTGTAGCCATTACCTTTCAATATTCCATGCTATGAAATTAACATATATAAATGTGTAGCTCATCAGCATACAGAGCTATTTGAAATCATTTAATTCCTACAAACTGCATTTATACAGTGAACATATGTGGTCATGGACCTAAACCCTGCAGAAAATTAACAACTCGATGTGAATGTTTAGAGCTCAGTCCTTACTAATCTCCATGGAGAGGTTGGACGGTCCAGGGAGCTGGGAACAGTGTCGACCTCCGTAGCGAGGAGGAATGCAGTCTCTATGTCGCACTTGCACCCCCCCACAGCCACCAGAACAGTTGGACCAGCCAGACCATGGCAACCACTCCCCATCCACTAAGGAGGAGAACAATCAGGATGTAATATTTACAACCTTTCTGTGTATTTATGTCTCAAGCTAGCTGATGAGCAAACAGCTAAATATGACTTCTAATCTATTTACCAGGGCAGGTGGTGTTGAAGCACTGCTGCTTCTGGATATGTTGTCCCAGGCAGCGGTGAAGCGGGTCACCTGGAGGGCAGGATCTCTGCCGACTCATGGTTCCTGTTCCACAGGAGGTGCTGCAGGGGCTCCAGGGGCCCCAAAAGCTCCAGGTCCTACAGCCGTGCTCATCTGTTGGTCCTCCAGATGCTGTTATGGAGGAGTCAGGACAGTCTGCAATGCCATTACAAACCTGAGAGAGTCGATGACCGGAGAAAAAAAATGTTAAGATGCTTTCGGGTTTGTTTGAGTTATTCTGAAAGTGAAAACTGTAAAAAAAATAAATTCTTATGTAAAAAAAAAATATACTGATAAATGTGCTGATGAAGGTTCTCAGTCATCCAGGTCTTAGTCATTCCGTAAAAATTCAAAAAATCCACTGGACTTGGTTTTCAAGATTTGAAGACGTTTCGCCACCTCTCCAGGAAGCTTTCTCAATTCAAATGTCTTGATCCGCAGTGAGTTTGAGTCTTATATAGACAACGCCTTGTATCGCTTGGAAACATGCAATGGTAACCGATGAATGGGTCGT